ACTTACTAGTGAGTTACTGCTGAGGGGTCCACACCAGGTACCAACACACTCTGAAGAGTCACTGGGCATTTTTTGCACATCAACAAACGGCAAGAGGAAAGTGGCAAAGATGAGGGGCAGAGCACGTGATGAGCAGATTGAGCTGAGGTGGGAGATGAAGGGAAGGCTCAAGGAGCTCATCAAGATGAGGGGAGAGGATTCAGGGGAGTCAGATGTGTCTCAATTTCCACTCGGGTCAGCACTCAAGTGGTCAGCAGTCATCGTTAAACATGTTGGATGTTAGCTTCTACAAAGAATAGTCCCTTGTATTAAAAAGACAGTTGAGAAACTCCTGTCAGTTTTTTTTACTTTAACTGTCATTCATCTTGCTGAATCTCTCCCCTTCCACTCACCAGTGTCCCTGTCTTTTCCCCTGTACACTCCCCAAAGTTTGTTGGGCCCAAACGACTTTTTAGAAGTCATCAAAAGCTGAAAATAGAAAAAACCAAACATATTGACCTGCTTAACTTAGAAAGTGCTGACACCTCTTGGTGAAGTTGTGGGTTGGCATCATTATCCAGATGGTAACACTGCTGTCCCTTTCTGACTTTATCTCCTTGCTTTGAAAAAGCTCTTGAAAAAGATGACAGCAATAACCAGATCCCTTCAGATGAAAGGGAGAAGCTTTACCCTAAAAGCAGCACCCAAAACCACTCAATGTCAGCCCTTGATAATCCTTAGCCAGACGCTTATTCCCATCAGATCAAACAAGAGGGAATGAGATTTAGGCTATGCTAAGTGCCAAACTCCGATATTAAAGTCCTGCTGTCGCACCTTCTCTCCTGCTTCAAAAGAATCTGATTTAACTGGCAAAATTGACTTAAAATCAGTGGCAGCCGCTGTCCTCTTGGAAATCAAAAAGCAGCTAAAATGAACTTGCCAAACTGGTGGCCCAGATCCTTCTCCTTCCCAGCAGAGACCAACAGCTGAGATAAGCTGCTCTTTGTCAGCTCCCCTGTGCTGCGCTTGCTCCTCTACTGTGGCTTCGCTTGCGCTGTTTCAAAGAGACGGTCAAACTTCAGCAAC